GAAGGTAACTGCGTCCACTTGGGATCCAACTGGAACCTTAACCACGTGACGTTGTCGTGTTTAGTCTTCTTGTAAACTTTACCAGTGCAGCTCATTCCGCCAAAAACGACGTTAGGAGTGTGTGCATGAATTCCTGCTGTAGCTGGCCTTATTCAAGTTTAACTTTCACTTTCCGGTAACGCCTTAAACTAGCAGAAGAAAACGCATGACAGCACAAAACTTTCACGATGCATAAGCTTCGTTTTCAAGAGTGATCCGCCGTAGTGTAATCCGACCTCACGTGCATCGACTTCTCAAATGCCAGCCCGGCTTCAGTTGTCGGTGCATTCCTCAACCGTGCCGCTAAAAACTGACGGCTGTGTCCTCAACATTGGCAGTTTCAAACTTTCCCAGAGTGCCGCTACTGCAAGTTGAGTTCACGCCATGATTCTTCTTTATGAGAATCAGTGCATGGCCCACTGTGCGTCCGTAAGGACCTACGTGCTGCTCACCTTGTTGATGCTTTCGCTGCTGTTGCTGATTAAAAAATGTATTGGCGCTCTGTAATCGGTGGCCCTTAAAAGGGACAGCAAAGTCAAATAACCATTTACATCAGAGTGAAAGTTCAATGTATAACATCTAAAACGACATTATCAACAAGAATGCCCTACTTACCGAGAAATTAAGGTAAATGCACAAGACCACAAGCGCCGCAGTAGGACATTCTCAAAATGATCCCGATGACATCACACGGACCGCCTACAACTAATCACAAGTAATCGATCTAACTGCACTAAATAAATAACCTTCCGTGCATCAAGAGACGCAATAAAATGCTGCTTGTTCGTTTCTGTTTGATTCATGAAAAAAAGAACCGCCGGAATTTACTATGGAGAATGGCGCGAGTGGTTCAAAAATTCAATTTTCACGTGGTTACACGGGACAGGTGATGCCATCTAGTGGGGCGCAGTTGAAAAAACGTCTGCAATCTCGAAGCCAATGGCGGAAAATTGATCAATGGCCGCTGTTGCTGATGTGACTCACGCTGCTACTAGCGCAGTAAACTCAGGCAACATTGTGCAGGCAACAGTGACGTGAATCGGTCCGGTCGGTCCGCTTTTTGAGGCGGGTAATTTGAAGTGCGCTAACCCGAAACGGACCACTAAACGCGATTTTGTTTCAAAAGAGGCCTTTCCTTGGCACAGAAGTAACACTACGAGGTTTCTGGACCACCACTTTAACAATCAACGTCGACTTGATAGTTGCCTTTAGTGTCTTACTTTTCACGCCTGGCACGATTCCAGGCTTCTGCCACGCAATATTACATTAAAAATTTTAAACAGGGGTTTTGTGTACGAGCTGGCTTTTCGACAATTGGACTTGTCGTCTTCGAGGTTAGAAAATCTAGCCTTCCTAGATTCTTCCTTTCGGCTCAGTGCAATAAGCAGAGCTGCTAAAATTTACCTGAAGGAGCACGAAATCGCCACGTGGTCAAAGTTCCAGTTTGATACAGTTACCTTCAGTACAGCTGGACATGATCCCAGTTGGTTTCCAGTTGGCTTGGCTGGAACGAGTAGCCTTCATGGCTAAGACCAGTTGATTTCACGTTCTAGTCTTGAAGAAGACAAGTCTATCGAAACGTGCGCTTGAGCACACAGCCACCGTTTACGGATTTCCTTTTTATCGAAAGCTTCCATCTTCCCCTTCCCGCCGTTTTTTTTTTTTTGGCCTTTAATTCCTTAGATGACATATTGTTTTTGTTTGTTTTTGAAGCTGTTTTAAGCAGTATCGTGGCTCTCTCGTGGAACACCAGAGTGCCACGCAGGCCGAAGTTTTTTTATTATCTTATTTTCATCTTTCCAAGTTTTTTCGGTCACGGACAATGCGATTTTTTTTTTTGCTTACAACCAACGCTGTCGGCATTCATGCGGAACGAGTTCTTTTACGCTACCGCATGCAAACAAATAATCCTATCAAAGGACGCTATCTTTCGTCGTAAAAACGGAAATCGTAACGCATCGTTCGGAGGCTCAATGGAATGCAAAGATACAAGGCGCGTTACAATCGATCCACTCCCGCAATAATATTCAGCTCTCAAAACCTTTGCGGTGACGTGTAGCGGCAAGATAAAGCCGTAAGTCCTGCCGCAGATTAACTTTATCAAGGACAAAACAGCACTGAAAATGAGACTTTCCTTCGCGCAAGTCTAATCTTCTTTCAAGCGCGAGCTGGCTTTCATAAACTCGGTCATCTGCCAGTTAAATTGCACTCACCAACGCGCGTTACTGCTTGGACGAAGACAGGAAAGCAACAGAACAAAGGGTGCGGAAACAAAACCCTTTGTGCCTGTGCATTATACATTACGTACGAAGAACTTCATTCAACGACCAGGAGAAGTGCCACCTGTTAGGGCGACACTGCGGGCCGCTCCCATGTGGGGACAGTTAGACCTAGCCTAACCGCCGCATCTCAGGCCTCTCTGGACAGCCAATATACATTGCGTACGAAATATTAGACTGTAACGGACACCACACTCGGGCGCGCACTCCAAGCAACTGTATGTTGTTGTGCCACAAATTGTGCGTGTCGCTATTCTTCCGCCGCGTACAGCAAACCCTGCGAGCGTATACTTGTTTCTTTCATTGCATATTCATTTCGTTCTTATTTTTTCTTTCTAGGCAGCCCCGGAACTCGCAAGAGAGCGGGAGTCGACTTCTTTCGTACACACACGAAAACCTTGTCCCACACACGACGCGGATCACGACATCGCCCCCCTCACAGACTGCATGCTGCCCGCCATGGCCTCAACGGATGCGGCAGAACGCAGTTACACCCGAGTTTCGCACAAACATGCACGCCTATTCGCGCACACACTCGCCGGACGCACAAACACCCGAAGAAGGGCGCGAGCAAGCCCTAGGCAAGGAGCGTGGCACGGGGGACCTCAACCTTGACCGAGATTTCACCTCCGACCGCCGCTAGGAGGCTTAACGCCATCGTCGTCCTCCCCCCAACAACCCGGTCTGTGGTCGCCTTCCTGCTACCGCTGACCTATTTAACGTCATTCCCCGGTCCGTGCAGAGCGGTGACGGCGGCAACGCGAGATAGTAGTGACGCACGTCCGCGAAAGAAAAGCGACAGGCCTTTCGCCTGCTTGGCCGTGGAACTCCCTGTCGCGTCGGCGATGTCTATACGGTGGGTCACGCAACGAGTTCCGTGGCGGTTGCGTTACACGTCCCAGGCGCCTCTATGCATAGGTCTTACTCACGGTGTCCCGCGGGCCTGTCGACCATCTCGGTGCAGCGCGTCATTTGTAGGAGGCACTGCAAGCTTGCGTGCGCGTGGAAAAGACTGACGTGTGGAGAATTGGCATGATTAATAAGTCCGCACTAGAGAGACCTATCGAACTTTTAAGCAGGAAATTGCCAAGGAAAAGATCTACGATAATACTCGGGGTAGTTCTCTACTGTTTGAGGCCAGGACAGGAGTATTGCGAACCAAGACATATCGGGCCAAATACGGAGGGGTAGACACGGTATGCAGTGCGAGTGGAGAGGAGGAGGAAACTGTCGAACACTTGATATTGTTCTGTAAAGGGCTTCACCCTATAGTTCAGGATGATGGCGCGGAGTTTTTCAAAGCACTGGGGTTTACAGACAGGGAGGGCAAAATAGACGTTAAGCGGGTAGAATTAACTTGGAGGAGGTTGTCTGATTGGTGGCTAAAGTCAAGGCACGAATGAAAATTAAACCATTCACTGCTAAGTACCAGTCCTATACTTTGCTATTTAAGGGAAAAAAAAGATAAATCTAGTTGATGGTTTATTAAGTATTACGGCTAGGTGGTGTTAGCTGCCGCCCTATCTAAAGAATACAGCCACATCAATCCATCTATCGGCGTGCAAGTACAGTAAAAATGAGCTCCTCGCAGATTCGCAGATCGTTCATAAGGGCCAGCTCGTGCGGTCTTGTAAAACAACACAGTACTGAAGTGAAGACGCAACATGAAGGAATGAATCGCTCGACAGTCCTCAATCCTTCATAGGTATATTTAAAAAAAATGCAAACCAAATAGGCCAACAATCTGCATTTCCGTGAGGATAATCACCTCTTGGATAAAACCTATTAGCTCAAACGTGACAATGTCAAATAATATTTGACTTCTATCCTTTTTTTATCAGATTGCAAACAATCAGAACAAGTACATTCGCAGCTCCAGCTGGGGCCCAAATAGAACTGCAACTGGGACCAGTTGTTTCCAATTTAGCTGGTTTCATTCAGGCGCCAGGTGGGGTGCAACTGGGACCGGGTGATACCCAGTTGAAACCAGTTAAATTCCCTGTTACGTTATCACCTGGAATTTGTGTAGTCTCTAAGTGGACTTTGCGCTGACCACTCATCCCTCCCCCACTCTGTTTTTCGTTACACACCTCATGCAAACTTTAATGTGGTGCAGTCAAAATGAAAGGTTTGTAAAAAGTGTGTGTGCAACGACTTCAGACTGAACGTGGGCAGATAAGTGAACAAAAGGAATTATGCAAAGTGACTATGTCACAGGTCCGGTAGGTAAAGCCTGAATTGAAACCAGGGTCAGAAGAGAAACTGCATGAAAAAATAATATGTACCAAGCAAAACTAGACAAGGTAACAAGAATGATCAGCACTACAGAGACAAACAACCAGAAGGACACATGGGAAGGTTTTTTTTTTAATCTGAGTTTGAGTGTTGCAGACGGCCTAGAATATGGTGCCTTGAGCCACAGAACATAGCATGAGGCAGTGTCAATCCAGAACTGTCAAGGATGGATAATCAAAGAATCCTGGAGCCCCCCCTCACCCCCTCACATACACACTGATAAATTTTTTATTTTGCTATCTCAGACAGGCTCAATAAGTGGGTATGCCTCATCTAATTGGCTGCCTGTTCTAACATGGAAGAACCTTGAGTGTCCAGTTCAAATTTGAAACCAGCGGTACAACGTTCTATAAGCTGTTTTGAAAATAAGACATTGCAAGGCCAGTAGGAATATTTTACATAATTTTTTTATTGCTATCTTCAACTTGCAAACCAAAAGAAATGCAATAACGGACTGTCGAGAGCGTGACGCTCAAGTGATATGGCACAGGTCCATCTTATGCAGACTTCGGAAATGGCGGCCAGCGCTCGCCAATTTGAGCGCTTTAAAATTAGCAAAACAAAAGCAACTTTGAAAACAAAAATAGTGATCCAGAATACAGTCATCAGCAGCACAGACCATTTACGTTTAAGGAACTCTGAACAAAAAGACACTTCAGAGCTACCTTTTCTTGTAATGACAAGCAAATCGTGTTTCTTTTTACAAAGACCGTAAATGACTTGCAGAAAGAAAAGAAAGAACACATTTGCAAATGCATATGGACAAAGCAGCGAAAAAAATGGCCCTGGGCCATCAGGCAAGAACATGAAAAAGAACTTGACCGTTGAGTTTTTAATACACATATCATTTAAGTGCAGGTGATGCAATGTATGGTAGTAAATAATTCAGGCATTTATTTCCACAAGACCGATGCCAACCAAACTCACACAACGCTGCCAAAATTAAAAGTGCATACACTTGTCTAACATTCTTGTGCGTGTGACTTGGGACACCAACGACTCTAAATTTTCAACGTCACCCCCAAGCAGAGTGTGGAAGTGCACTGACACTGCAAAAATTAAGTGTTTAATCTTCTAAAGCTTAGCAGACACACTATACTATTCAGTACTTGGTGTAGCATGAAGACATTCTCTTTCGATTAAATAAACCTTTAGCTCCTTTTAATCATGCAAGCTCAGAATCTGTATTTGCTTAGATTTCCTCGATGCTTTAAAGGTTCTCACGTAATTTTGCCACGTACAAGATCAATAACGGCTACCGCCAAGCTACAATGCCTGGACCAACTGTAAATTCGTTTTACAGTCACTTGTGCACGTTATGGCCTAAATGCTGCCAGAATGGTCATATAAAGATGGCTGAATTATGACGTCGACCGTCATATAGTACTATGAAACTGAATGGTTCAAATATTGGATGCAGGACTTCAGTTAACAGTGGCCCTATTCCCACTCTGTTTGCGGCTGCCTATTGTGCTGGCTCTTGCCGTAGTGCACTTCACAATTAGTCTCACTGATATGGCAGTTCAGTGCCGCTACATAATCACACTGAGCTGCTGCTGAGCAACAAACTTGTTATGAGAATCTGTTTCAGCTGCAGCTAATGAAGGTACTTTGGGTGACTTCTCAGCAAACCACTCTGCGCACGTTTAAAATTGCCAAACTGATTTAAGATGAAAAGACACGAAACATGCTTGTGCCCACAACAGGAGCTGACTAGCAACATTCTGAAGTGCGTTCAGTGCAGAGACTGCAAGATGCGCGACTACTGAAAAATTTTTTAAAGCTGCACTCAACCTTTACACTGAGCTGCCATTAAAAATCGATAATGCTTCAACGCGTCTACACAGACTCAAACCAACTTAACAGGCATCTGAAACATACGCATTTGGTAGTATGTGCTGTTAAACTACCGAGAGTGCTTGTTAGCGAGACAACATAAGACGCTAAGGTCAAGCAATCCATTGGTTGGGCTAGCTGAAAGGCTGTGCGTTAGTGCATTGCATTGCATTGCTGCACGGGAGCTTGTTTTTTTATGTTGTGTTTATCTGTTTTAGCAACTAAGCATGTATATATATATTTACAATAAAAGCAAACTACAAACCTGTGATCTAGGGCCATCGACCTGACAACACCCGACAGGTGCTGCGTGCCTCAAATGCCAAGCTAGAAAAATTCGTCAATGAAAATTATTGTGCACATACTTATCAAAGTGGCGCATTTTGTAACGGGATCATTTGCTATAAAACGGAACAGCACGCAACGACCGGAGCACCGGAACCCGAGACTCCGGTGACATGCAAGAATCATCGCCTTGTCTCTTGCTAAAGAGGTCTAAGTTGGAAGACTTTCCAGCCACAGAAACTTCTGGGAAATTACAGGTGCAGCGAGGTGTGCAAGGTTCTACAGTGAAAATCACGTTTTGAGAGACGACAAGTGCCGATAATAATTTGGCACTGTTTTAAGTACATGGTACAGCTGCAGATACTTTCCAGCCACTAAGCACAATTTCGCTGCACGAAACCCGAGAAAAACTAATGTGGAACGAACGCTTGTGCCGTCTGCGGAACAGATGACTCGTTCTACGAGAGCCCTGACAAGGTCCATTTAAGTGGACCTTTGTCTTAAGCTAGGTGCAATGATTCACATCAATCAGTGTGCTCCACCGACACTCAGCAAGTGCATAGCTGTAAAACTGGCAAGAATTAAGGTGTTAGCGTGGCGACGTGGTATGCTAACTCGAAGTGTGCGACATGGCCCACGTCACTTCCATTGTGGCGGTCTCATACCTTGCGCCATAAAAAGAAACAATAACAAAAAAAACTTCTGCTCTTTATGTGCACCAGGATACATTCTGCACACATGCACACACAATACAACTAGGTGTTCCTAATAACTCTGCTGGCAACGGTACCTGTACAACGCACAATCACATATCGTAGTTGATTGATGGGTGTGTATCAGTACAGCAAAGGGGCGGTGCCTCAATAAATAACTTAGATAATGCGAGTAGCACAAGCGAAGGTGCTTAGAGGGACCCCGAAGTACGATGTTTCATTTGGTAGTTGCTTCTGACTGGCGAATTCTCGTGGCAATGGCCTTACCATGCCATGAGCTGTTCATCACTTCCACTCGACTAGGCCTCAACAGCAAAACACCACTGAACAACCGGCACAGTGAAATCCTTCTACAGTAAAACTGAAGGCGCAGGTGTAGACGCCTAATCATGAATATGTTCTGGTAAGCATACAGTGTCATTGAAAAATGCACAAAAGTCAAGGTTGTTCACTAGAAATGCGTTTCTTTTTTCTTCTGCCGAGACATGTCAAGCAGTGCAAGTGCGCTAAGACACTGCTTAAACAAAACAAGAAATGCCTGTAAAAGGAGTTGTCTGTTCAAGTGCTCACTTCGAATCTTTCACAACACACACACAAAAAAAAGTCGAGTATGCTCATAATGAAGTGATGCCACAGCAATCCAGCGCCAGCTGCGCACTCACACCAGTGGTACACTTTCACAATATAAACGAGTGCCAACGCAGAACTACCGTCGCTGCATTAAGCTAGCGTATGTACAATAAAGAAAACTCTCACTTCAACAAGACAGTTGGGATATCCTATCAAACAGTGGCGTTACATTCTCACTTCATGTGACACACAAGCAGTTACAGAGTAAGATAAAATGATGCTATGATGACTCGTCATTCAAGGGTTGTTCTCCACAACACCACACAAGCTCAACCTACCCTTCGTCTCTGTCTTGGCAGGGTAAAATTAAATGTCGCACACCTAATTTTCATTCCTCGCGCAAAAGCTGTCACGGATTGCCATTAGTCTAACGGCTCTTCCGTGCAACTGAACCGCCTCTTTCTTTGACAGCTGCAAAACGTCTCAAGTTCGTTTTTTTCTATTTTTCACCAGTAATACTCTCGCTACAGATTTACAAATGCGTGCGGCACGAAATTCATGTAACTCGCAATGAGCTTTGGAAACACACATTTACAAAACCTGGTGGTCGAAGAGCAGCAGCATGATTGCAGGTGTCGGTCGCAGCGACAAACCAACGCACGACACTTGACTCGAAAGATCGTGCTTTGCGATTAATCTAGACGTACTCGACGTGAGAGGTGCACCAGCAATGAATCTAGACGTATGATGCGCGGATCATCTCTACAATGGAGTATTGGCAAGTAGAACTTGGACAATGCTCAATGTGAACCATACGTAGACACCCCAAAAGAGGTTACAGCATCTAAACGCACCTTCCCTGGTGTAACGGTGACTACTGCACGAAGGCAAGTTTTCGTTCTTTACGTGGCATTACATAACAAAATAATTCTAAAAAGGCAAAGGGTTGCAATGAGGTGTGTTGCCACACCAGCTGTGGCCTGCCCCCAAAGACTCCATGAAAAGCGTAGCAGGTATTCCTCGCTGGTCGAGTGCATCGTTATTCGATGCTTGTAGTCTGCACTTACAACAACAAGCCATTCGTACATGCACTGAAACTTTTTGAATAACCTATTCTACTAAACCCTTGGCTCTACGACAGTAAGTTTTCTAACCATAGTGGACTGATCAATTAGCAGTTTTCTTAAAATTGAACATCGCTGGGCCAGCACGTCAATAGCACTACATGCATAGCAGCTGCCTTTGGCAGAAAACGAAATAAAGCTGCCACAGCCGTAAATTATGCGGACAAAAGCAATAAGACTAGAGATTGTTCGTTCCTTGTAAAAATAGCACAGCAGTATCTGAGCATCTGCCCTGTGCCTTGTGTTCCCATGCCTGATGTGCTGCCTTTACGACGAATAAACAACCGACCAACCCCGCTTTACACACTACAGTTGCACGTTACGCTTGTTCTCCCATCATTATCGTAAAATGCTTTTCTTGACAGAAACACCAACACACCAAACCTGCTATTCAACTTTTCTTAACTGTTACTCGAAGCAAAGTGCCAGTTGGTCAACGTTAAAGAAATTCACACAACTGAACATGACTACTACGATGCAGCAAAATTACACCTTAAAGGGCCTTGCAACACTTTTTGAGCATGGTCAAAAAACGCTGTCACTCAGTAGTCGAGGCTTCTGAGAACATAAATATTATAGATAGCAAGACAAATATTATAGCGTAGCTCACGGCTCGCAATTCGCATTGCATTCTCAAACTCAGCTAAAAATCTCTTTCTCTTTTCTAGTGAAATGACGTATGATACCCAAAATCATTGCATAAAAGTTGTTGGATCAGCCATTGGCTGATTTAAACATGGCGCGCTCATTTGTAACAGGGTCGCCACGAAAAATCGCAACTTGCCCACGCATGCACGCGCAATTGCACTTAAAAGCTGTGTAATCGGAAAAAAAAAAGAAGAAAAAGAAGGAAAGTGCTGAAGGTCACGCGGTGCGCGTGACGTCTTTTTTTCCTCGTGCCATCCCTCTCTGCTTAGTTTCCAGCGCTTTCATCGGGACGAGGCAAGAGAGAATGCAATTACAGCGTGATACAAATCTTTGCAACTCCGTTTGTACTGGATGAATTCGCAAAATTTTGTGGCGGTGAATTTGTGAGGCAATAAGCTCGCCTTCAGTGGATGCATTACATGGCTACTTGAAAGAGTGTTGCAGGGCCCCTTTAAAAGGCATAGACAACGTTAAAGCCCATAAAAGCCGATTATACTACTGTTTCGCTTCAATTGCACCTGCTGTGTTAACTTGTCCAGCTTACTTCTTTGACACGGGTGCCAACCAAATGCTAGTCGAACTTTCAATTATATTTCTCTCAGTGTTCTTCAAAGCAGATTGCTGGATGTCCAATGTTAAAAAAATTTCGAATGACTGAAGAAAATAGCTGAATGGCAAATTTGTACCCTAAATTTTGTGAACAACCTTAACGATGTACAGACAGGTTGAACTCTGATTTATCTCCATGAGAAGAATCATCTGGTTACACATAGTCCACCACTGCCTATGTAAACAGAAAACATTGCCACAGCCAATGCTGCTTTTTAAGGTGACGATTATGTTGATTACTGAATTGAGCTTGACAGGCGCATTATGGTTTGAAGTTTTCTGTGTGTTTGTTTGGTGGGAAAGCAGATACATGAGAACATCAGATCAATGCTAAGTACAAGCTACGGAACTGAGGATGCCGCAGAGTGATGTAACAGCTTCTGTGGTTTCTTCTCAAATCAAAATTCCTATTCTCCAAGAAGGCACAACATCCCAGATCTGGCCTAACTTTACTTCGAATCAGAAAGCCAATATTTTAGCTGCTTGAAATCAATGGAAGTTAACATGGCACAAAATGAAAGTGCCTCAAATTATGATTTTAAATAATGCTTGACATACAGAAAACCTATTACAGCCCCCTGACTTCTTGAAAGCGGTTGCATTAACCATTTGCATTCCAAACTGCATGCCACGGCGAGGTGCACCACCCATGACCAGAGCATGCATCTCCACAGCCCGCATGGTTTATAACTCGTCATAAAAGGTTTATTTTTTCGATGACACTAACAGTCACGCATATTATTCTTATAAGAGCTGTTCAAAGTCTTCCTATGTAATTGTATTGCAACTATGGAGACACAGTGCCTTCTCAAACACAAATTAAAATGCTATGCAAAGCATAATGTTGCCAGGAGCGGTGACCTCACGCAGAGCTGCTTTAGAGATTCGAAAAATGCTATGCAAAGCATAATGTTGCCAGGAGCAATGACATCACACAGAGCTGTTTTAGAGATTCGAATCTACGCTACCTATTGGCTATTGTCCCCGCCCACGTATCAACCTCCTGGAAACACCTAACCATTCAGCCAGAAAAGTTGTCACCAGTTTGCAATTTCAACCAGAGAAACCATGCCAACCAAGCCTAACACTCACATTCTGCACACCTTCTACACCATTCCCGTTAGATCAGGCCACAGAACTCTCGAGATAACAGACTTGTCCGTGCAGCTACCTGCTCTTGTCATCGGCAGCGTCGATGACGACATGACCAGACTGAAGGTGCGCGGAAGCAGCGGCGACAGCAGCAACAGCGGCGGCAGCAAGGGGGGATAGGATGGGGAGGGGCCCAAAGCATCCGCCAGAAGCGTCCAAACCTACAAGCGAAGTCATTCCGAAGCAGGGCCCCACTGCTGCACTTGTGTTCTGTATGCGCCGAGCGGCAGGACAGGTGGGAATAGAGGGGACGTAGCAAAGGAGAAACGCGGTCCCAGCAAATTATCACCTTTGCACGCCACCCTGCGAGGAAGAAAGGAGCGTGGAGAGAGAGCGGAGGGGTGGAAGAAAAAAAAAAGGCAGGGTCAGTAAAGTAAGAAATAATAATAAATATAAATCATAGCTGCCAAATGCAAGTGATATTTTAACCAAGCGTACAGAGGTAAATAACAAAAATAAAACCATTAGGCCCATGTTTACAGCACCTCCCCGCCAACTGTTTTGTGTGTTAGGATAAGTTTTTCTTCAACAATGTTTATTTATTCAGATATCTAGAGCTCCCTAATTAGGCTTTATTTTAGAACAGACCATTACTATCACATATGCCCTTTACATTAGGCTGCTGCCAAATGCATCATGTCATACCTGAGAATGTGTCTCCGCTGTTACGCCACACCTGTGGCGTAACAGCGTAGCACTCTAGTCTGCCGTCTTGCACCTCGAAGTTCGTCAAGTACGACAACGCGATCTACACAGATTTTTCTCTCCTACACTGGACCACATTTTACACAACCTGGACGTTCATTAACAGAGAAATTACAATGCATACAAACATGCCTTCAGTTCCGTGGAGCTACATTTTGTTCAATGAGGTTGCAAAAATTTATCATATCTCCATCAATTAGCAAATGCACCACAATGAATTAATGGCTGATGAGTGGGCGCTTTTTATTTTTAGAATTTTTAGGAAATTATTACTCACTGTTCAGGTTGGTATTCAACCCCAAAATTTTCTAACATGTTCATACCTCAATGATGGGAATGGATGTGAGCAACACAAACGCAGCGCTGGTTTTCAACATTCGATTTATTTCAGTAGGCGTCACACCAATAAGGAGGCAATGAAGTAAGGAATTGAGTTTCTTAAACGTGGACAGTGACCTGAGAGCGATCATATTTCATCGAACCTCATCATCCCGCAGACTGTCGTGTCATCTAATATCCATTGTCAACAATCAATAAGCCATAGTTTCCTCGTGTTTACACACACTATTTTTTTCATTTTTTTTGTTTCTCACATAACGCATTTGTGTGCGCTGCTTCTGAGCCTCTTTATTGGTGCAATGCCTACTGAAATAAAATAAATGCTGAAAGTTGGTACTCTGTGTGTCATTCTTCTGAAATATGAAAAATGCGGTCTTTCCACTTGTGAGAAAACTTACTGAAAAAAAAAAAGAGGGCAGCGTTGCTACGTGTTATCTGCTGTATAGATTTGTCCATCTCTGCACTATCTCTAATGCACATTTACAAAAACCACGCAAATCAGTGGATTCCACGATGCTCAAGCACGGACAAGTCAACACCCTAATAACCAAACACACATTCTGCCCATTTTTTTTTATCAGTGATGCCACACCCCATAGAGTTTCCTAAAATTGAGTAGAAGGGACTCTGGCACTGCGATCCTTCTGCTACCGTGGGAAAGACGGGCAGTTACACGAATTTGCCGTCTTCGCACTTGTGGCCTTTTATGTTGCTTCATTTTATTTTTTTATTTGAAATGAAAAAAACAAGCCGCTCTAAACTTCGCGACCCGATTTGAATCGGTGAGCCTAACAAGGTCAAAGTGGTGAAGCGCTACTAAACCTTTGCTGAACTTCATCTTGTGGCACAGCGGATTCAAGCCACACGAAGCCAAACAAACAAAGATTAGAAAAATTTGTGTACTACCCATCATTCCCACACTGGCTGAAGTGTCGTGTGCCGCAGCTCCCATGGACACTAGCATCAGAGTTACCTTTAGTGTGTTCATAGGAAACTCTATGGCCACAACCAATACAACAGGCAGGAAATACCATATTTACCCGATTATAAAGCACATTCCATTTCCACGACCCAAAAATTTGCCCAAACATTACACCACGTCCCCTGCAGTGACAGCGGTCTGTAGCAAGAGGTAGACGGCTTTCCTTCTGTATTGTTGCATACGTTGGCAGAAATGACCAACTAGTCTCACCCATGACACTTCATTCAAGACATGATGGCATGCTACTCTTGTACCAAAGCTAAAAGCAGAGCTGCGTCACGCTTCGCTGGCTATCTGGATGTTTGTGCATTGCGTGCTTTACAGCACTAATCGAAACTGTTGCTGCTCTCAATGTGGGTGGGCTGAGCAGAAATTACCAAATTCAGTGTTTGGCAAGAAAGGCGATGCAGCACTGACATTCATTAACAGTTTAAAGCAGGAAATAATAAAGCTGTATTACAAAAGCAGCAATTAAATGTTTTGCAATTTTGTACATTCAGCAAGTTTTGCTTTTCTTCAAACCCTTTTCACTGTCACCAACACAGCGGTACATTTTCGCGTTTCCCCCTTTCCCTGATACACCGGTAGGTTCAGTCCTGTGCATTAAAGAAATTTGAGCTGAAACGCAAAGCTGGCACATTTGGCAGAATTCTTCTGTTTGCGTAATCTGTCGAATCTTTCTAGAAGCACGACTTTTCACCCCTCATCGAGTTAGTATCTGTGTAAAAGAGCAACCACACCCACTTTTCTTTGCTAAAGCGCATAGGTCCGTATTTACAAGCCAATCTCATCCTTTCCTCGAGTGTTTCTCACCGGTTTCAAACCTTATTGCGCTTGAAGAACAAACGAGGCCAGTATCTACGAACCAGTCTTGTCCTCATCTTTCATCCTGTTACCATTTTCGCGTCTTTATTATGCACGTAGAGAGTACAGAGAGTTGAGCAAAACGTGAAGTAAGCCCGAGGTTGGTTTGTGAATACGGGCCATAGATGCCCCGCGCCGGCTACTCTCTCTGGCTGAGCAACCATGCCGCGTGCTTGCGACTACGGGTACGAAAGTTGTTCCCCTATCTGCCTCAGGTTCCCACATTTCTTTCTTTTTTTTCTCTTCTATTTTGTCGGCGTGTCCGTCACAGTGCGTCAAGTTCAGGCGCATGCACCACTCCCTCTCCAACAGACCGAAACATAGCATGACATAGATCACTGCTTTCACTCACTCGCCGTGGTGTTGCTTGCTGCTATCGGCAGCAAATGAGGCTGTACCCTTTTTACATTCCTAAATGTCATTTCAACCTTATAACACGTCACTTAATCGCGTTTTGAGCTACTCTAATATTCCTGACACCAGTCTGACACCGGGGCAACCTTACGGCCAAAAGCGCTGGACAGTGAAAACGTTAATAGTGGAGCTGTTTACATTCAGCAGACGCCTGTATAAAGTTAGCAAAACGTATCATTATCATCATCATCATACTAGGGCATGCATTCTTTGTTCTCGTTCTGTTTGCTCCCCAAACACGAGCGCACGACACGGGAACTCTCGCTGCCTCGATTTTTCCAGTGCAAGATGCAATAGCTTGGATGGGCGAGGGAATGAGTAAAGAGAGACAGAAAGATGAAGAGAGAGAGAGAAAAGAATAGAGACAGAGAGATAGAAAAACAGAAATCAAGAGAGAAACAAAAAGCATTAGCGAGAAAGAGGAAGTGAGAAATAGAGAAAACAAGGAAAGATAAAAAAGATAGAAAGAGAAAGAACAAAAAAAGTACAAAGAAATGGAAGCAGAAAAGTTCTATAAAAGAGACAGAGAAAAGAAAGTAAAAAGTAACGAGAAACAAGGTAGGCCACCCAGCTCCACCGTTTGTTCCAGCATATGCCCCTAGCGCGAGGTACGCCAATCTTTTCTCATAGGAAAAATTGTTAGCCTGCTTTTTCCTACATATACAAATCAAGTGCCTTTATAAATATTTATTTGGGAGGACATATTTCCGTCACTTTGAGTTCGCAGGATTGGGCAAATGTTTGGTGCTGGAGAGGACATGTTAGAATAGGGTAATAACGGTACAGTACCAACACAGCGTCCTAAGGCATCACCTTGAGAATGCGCAAAGCGATGTCACACGCCGCCGATCCACCATGCTCGCGTGCACAGGAGGGCTCCTCGGGGGCGACGTGCAGACAAGACAGGCAGCGCTCGAAAAAAAGTGGACGGGGCTGTTTCGAGAGCCATTCCATGAAAAACTCGTGACCCTCATTCAGAAACATGCAGGAGATGGCAAGAACCGTGCAAGGAAGAGAGACTGTCTACTACAACTCGCAATGTGTCGCTTCATACAGGGCTGTGCTCACTGTTGACCACAGTACGAGCAGAATAGAAAAGTTACCACGTGCAACACCCGGTTTCCAACAACCACATTTAAAAGCAAGCAGGCATTGTGTAAAAAAAAACATAAAACAAAAAGAAAGTGGTCACTACCACTCGTACCATGCTTGTGAATGCACACAACGCCACCAATATAAAATGTACACAACAATGCAAGCGCACTGGGCATCGTCCACCCTTTGGGGTGTGGAAAAAAAAAAAACACGGTGTAAACAGTGTGTCTTTTTGTCCCGCAACAATAATGATCATCGGCTTGCTTGCACTTCGTTTCTTGAAAACTTAGGGCTGGCCACTTTCCTACCAATATAACTATGTTACGCTAATAATGTTCACTTTATTCGTGACCAGAAGTGCCGGGTGCACAGCAATAGTGCAAGGAAAGGATGACGATTATTGTTGTGGGACAAAAAGGCGCCCTTTTTGCTCGTTCTATTCTTCGAGTGATCTTTTGGAGTGCAACTATTAAGCGCACCACAAAGGGTGTATTGTGGTGAACACACTCCCATTAAATATCACCTTAGGGGTGTTCTTTCCTCAACAATAACTTCTCTCTTGCGCGCTTTTTTTTTTCTTCTTTTTAGTTCACCCTGCCCCGAGCTTCCAAGTCAGACACACATGCTACCAGCATGACATAGCCCTCTTGACATAAAAGTCGCGTGTGCAGAGCTTTCAAGAAAGGATAAGCAAGCAAACCAGATTACCACTGCATGAAAAGATGCCTCAAAGACTGCAACCAGTTTTTTAAAGTGTGGCCAGAATCAATATGAATCATCCTTCAGAAAAACCAAATTCTCGACGAGCATTGTTGATCAGTCTTCACTCATCGAATGATTACAGAACAGTTACACATACAAAGATTTTTGAAGGCTTCCTTCCTTTGCACTCAAGCTGCCATTG